TAACTACGACAGAGTAGTCGTCCAAGACTTGTTGAAGGAGGTGGCGCAAACACAACAGGTTGATCAGTCAGCGAAGCAGCGGTTCAAGGTCGTGGTCATCAACGAAGCAGACCACCTGACTCGAGACGCCCAGGCGGCTCTGCGACGAACAATGGAAAAATACTCGCCAAACCTACGGCTAATTCTCTTGGCGAACTCGACAGCCAACATCATTGCGCCGATCCGCTCGAGAACCCTTCTAGTCAGGGTGGCAGCGCCGACCCACGAGGAAATTTGTGACGTGCTAGCCGTGTCGGCCAAGAAGGAGGGCTGGCCCGTCGTCAAGGGCCTGCACCAGCGAATAGCGGAGGAGAGCGGACGGAACCTGCGGCGAGCCCTCCTCATGTACGAGGCTGTACATGCCCAAAAGTAGGTTACCCCAACGGAGCTTTCGGCCGAGGCGTGTGAGCAGGGACTGACCCGAGGTACAGTGAGAAGGTTACAGACAGCACGCCCATCCCGCCGGCAGACTGGGAGGCTCTCATCGGACAGATTGCGAAGGAGATTTTGGAGGAGCACACACCAGCCAGGATCCTGCAGGTGCGGTCAAAGCTGTACGATCTTTTGACACACTGCATTCCCCCCACCACCATCCTCAAGACCCTGGCCTTCAAACTGATTGCTCTTATCGACGACGGTTTGAAGGGTGAGGTGATTCAGTGGGCGGCTTTCTACGAACATCGGATCAAGACGGGAACCAAGGTCATCTTTCATCTGGAGGCGTTTGTGGCAAAGTTCATGAGAATCGTGGAGATGTATCTGATGAGCATGGACATGTAAACATGGTAGAATGCGTGGTTGGCGTTCAGGGAGGTCTACGTAGCACAGCCCCGTGCGACGGGAGTTGACGGAAAACTACATCTAATTGTCCCCATGTCGTTCACTGGCATCCAGGCTCGTGGCCTCTTCGCGTGACCTCCTCTTTGGACCCCGCCTTGCCATATGATAAAGAGCAAAAATATTTCAAAGCCAAGAGCTGAAGATGGAGAACCAGAGTTGACGAGGGGTTGCTATTGAGGGGGCCGACCTGTCAACCAATACTTGTCTCAACCTGGTCCGTCGTGGAGCCCCGGAACTGAGGGGTTGACGAGGAGCGGGGAATGGGGAAATGGGGAAACGGAACCTTGTTTAGTTGCAAGAGCTTGCCCTGACTAGGACGCATGGAGAGACGGAAGTCTTGAGATTGGCCCTGGGAGGTTGGGTTCGTCCGGTCGTCTGGGAGGCATCGCATCTGTTGCTTACTGGCCGCCTCTCTCCCAGGATGAACCGAGCCGTCGTTGAGCGTTCACATCCTACAGGACGCCCAGTCCCAGGCTTGTGTATCCAAGCCGGGGTCAACTTCCATCAAGGGCAACGGCGAATTCTTCTACACCCCGATGCCGAGGAGTTGCGAGAGGTAGCGTCAACTGCCCGAAGCGGCAACAAAATCAACACTCCGGTTGATTTCGGTGCCAGAATCAGAACGACCAATGACTACCCAGCATGGAGAGCTCGAGGGAGCCCGTGGAGGGGCAATCTGAGGGGAAGGGTGTGGACGAGTCGACAAGGTGTGTGGGTTCGAGATGACGCAGAGAGGTGAGGAATAGCCGCGGATCTCGAGAGCTTCGGCTGGGTGAGAGGAGCAAATCAAAGCTGACCAAGACTAGGTGAGTGAATGGGCGAGAGGGCATCCATCACATGCGGAAGAGGAGAAGCAAGGACGGTGCCGACATTTCAAATGGACAAGTTCCGTTCGTTGCATCACTGATGAACATCTCGGTCGAGTCCCGAAGGTACGGCCAGACGGCAGCAACCATGTTCAAACACCGTCACAGATGTGGCTTGAGCCGGCAACAAACGCCACAGCCATGATGCAGCTCCTGTGGCTTCGGTTCAAGCGCTGGGCTTTGGCCCGGCCGGTGGGGCAGGGATGGGCATGGAACAAGGGTCGACGGTCGACGGGCGGGTTGGGGATGGGCGCTCGGGCGGCGTGTTGAAGTGCCGATTCGGGATTAGCCACCACGAGGAGAGAGAGCCCAGCCCGAGCTAGCGGCGAGACGGATACGTCAACAGAGAGTCGCACACATTCGCTCTAATCTCGGTATTGGAGGGGGTTGAAGGGGGTGTGAAGCTTTGAACAAGAGAGTTGCCGTTTAACTTGAAACGGACGGGAGTCTCGGGACTTGAGCGAAACGGCACGATGAGCGGCTGAAGAAGAAGTACCCCGTAGTCGGTGGCTATATCCGGAAGACGATGAGGAAGATTCTCAATACCGAAAGATACCGCAGCAAGAGGAAATGGTTGAGACGACAAGCTTGAAGGATGGTGTTGAGATTGTAATCCTAATCTCGACCAGCACAAGCAATTCTCCCCGAAACAGTAACTGAGTGCCTCAGACATGGGCTGGCTAGCGGGGGACAAAATACACGAGACTGAATTGGCTGTGCCCTCACCTCCCTGAGTCTCGTGTTTTATGTCCCCCGCTGGGCTGGGATGGATGTACCAGGTACCTAGCAATCTGCAGCGCTCTGGCGCAGCGCCGTCTCGAAAACGGAGTGAACTTTGTTGAGGAGCGTGGGAGGTGAAAATCGGAGGAGAATTAAGACCCTGACGGTCTAGCCTCTGGGATGTTGCCGTGGAGGGGCATGCCAGGCCGGCCAATCAGAAGTCGTGCAGACTAACCCCGAAGATTTCGAATGCGGGGGGAAGTTATGAGGGGCAGCTGCTGCACCTGCCAACCTGCGCCATTGCACGGGCGGCGGGCATGCATCCCGTTTACCGGAAGTGGTTATAAGGCAGATGAGACGGCGGCAGGAACGAATACGCGACTAAAACCTCAAGCGTCCAGCTGTGATGACAGATTCTTGCCATACTGGGAATATATTCAATGATGCCTCAATCATCCAGCGACTTCGGACGCGGCGCTTAGACAAGTCAGTCTCTCTTCATGAGGGGCCGTTGCCGGCGTGCTCTCCTCCTGCATCGAAAAGACTCCACCGTCCCATGGATGTTAGAGCCGCGCCCTCCGCATACGGCCCAAGATGCTGGCCTCGAGCTCCAAAAAGGCTCCACTGATTACCACGGTCAATCACATAACACGTTTTTCTGGGTGGGAGATCCGGTGCCCGTTTCGGGCAAGGGACACCGCAGCTCCAGCTCCAGCTCGAGCCTCTTCCACGTCCGGAGCCGTAACGGCTCCGTCATGACATCCCTTCCCCGGACTGTGTGTCTCTCGATCTGTCTCGCCTCCTCCTCTCGGCTGGGGACCGTCAATTCTCCAGTCTTGGCCCTTTGAAGTGGCAATACCGAATTCCTTCGGGTAGCCAATGTGCAGCATAGGGCCGGCCCTGTCCTGGCTTGCAATGTCTGTCGTGGCCAGCAGGCATTCTCAATGGGGCCGGGAATGGAGCCAGGGACGAACCTGTAGTACCCAGTACTAAAAGTACCGCATGCAGCTGCACCATCAGCCACCGTGGGAGGTCTGCCGCACATAGCTCGGCATGGGGGCTCAAGGGTAGGGGATTTCAGGAGAAAGAGGGCAGAAAAAAAAGTCCATCATTCTGGCGGGGTGCCAGGGGTTAAGAAGACGGTCAAGATGGCTTCACACCTTATCATCACAACCGCCTCGACAAAACCAGTGTCTAAAGTTTCTGGTTGATGAGCTAGGGTGCAAGGACTTCGGCTCCGCCAGGAACACAAGCTCCAGTTTAAGGGACCACAGAGAGCTACGGTGTATCCAGTCCACCGTCAGCATCCCAAATCGCAAGACGGTGGTGGGTGGATTTTCAAGCTGGCGCCCCCGGTGTTCGGGACCCCACCACACCCAGGCAAAGTCGCGATGGAATTAGAGTCAGACGCGACCGAGACTGATTGATGATTGCAACTTGATTTGAATGAGATTACAACATTAGATTAGTAGAGAGAGCCCGTACAAGATCCTTCAGGATATCCGCCACTTCAACGGTGGATGACGGCACGAAAGCAACGCTGCCATGGGGGGTGTTCGGGTCTGTAAACATTGATAGACGGTACGGAACCGGAAGAAGAACCAAAGGCAACCACCTCCAGCAAGCATATACAGAGCAGGCATAGCCAGAACAGCCATCCGTCCATATCACACTTCGGGCGTAGGGCAACGGGCTAACTCCGTTGCGCCCTGGATAGACATGGTGGGATGGGCAGGGAGATACCGACCGTAGACGCCATGATGGCGGCGCATGGCAAAAGCTCGACCTGGAATAGGGCCAGGACTGCCGGCTATGGGTGGCAGCGCACGGGCAGCCTTGCGACCCTGCTGTGTTCTGGGGTTACCCAGCATTTGGATGCTGGCCAGATGCTGGAGTGAGTGCCGGACCCGAGCGTCTGTGTGTGGGAGCGGCGAATGGTTGTCTTGCCCGATGACGATGCATGGGGGGGTAGCCTTCGAGAGCCTGGCTAGGCAATGAATGACTCTGGTAGTCTGGCTGGCCGACGGGAGTTGGGTGCTGGCTGTGGTTCTTCGGGACATGGCTCGGGGGAAAGGATCACGGCGGTGCTGCTACGGCTCTGGGCTGGCAATGGCCCCCCCGGTTCGCCGGCCGCCGCTCGCCGGTTGGTGCAGGTACCAGTGACCAGTTACCGGCCGGCCTGCCAATGGCGATGTACCCAAATTACCATAAAGAATCAATGGTCCCCCAGCTCCCCCGCAGACCGGACCTTCTCATCAAACCTCTCGCTCCATCTCAACTCAACTATTTCTCCCTCGTCCTCCCCTCCATCTTTGAACAACTTGGACTCTTCTTCTCATCCATCTCCCTCTTCTCACGACTCCAACTGCGCATCCTCGGCCTCTCCCCCGAAGAGCAACACCGAAAGCTGTCAGTTCTGACAAGCTCCACGGTCACGCTACCCCGCATCGACGTCGCATCCGCATACGCATCTGCCCGCGTCCCTCAACGAAAAAAAAAAAAAAAATCTTTTACAAACGTTCCCCAACCGTCTCAATGGCAACCGTCGAGAACCCCCAAGTCCCCGTTGAGCCGGCTGTGGCTCCCGAGGTCAGGGAGACCGTCCCTGCTGCTGCTCCCGCCCCTGCAGCCAGCGAACCTGTCCCCGAGAAGACTCAAGAGACCAAGGCCCCCGTGGTTGCTGAGGCCCACCTTGTCGACACCTACCGTAAGCTCGCGTGCCCGGCCGGGTTCGGCGTCCATTGGACTTTTTGCTAACGACTCACATAGACCCCCCACAGCGGATGTTTGCCAGTATGCATTACCAATTACCCCTTTTTCTTTTCCGTCGAGACGAGATTACTGCGGCATCCATTAGCCCTCGCTCGTCACGCCTGTTGTTGTTTTCTTTTCTTCTTTCGTCTTATTACGCTCCGTTGACTCGGCCTTGCTAACCCCGTTACCCGACAGAGCACCCCCACAGGCCCCACCTTGCCAGTAAGTTAATCCCGGAATCCGCACCGGAGCCTCAACAGTCTCTGACCCACTCTCTAGACCTCGAGGAGTACAAGCGACTCTACAAGGAGTCCATCACCCAGCCCAACAAGTTCTGGGCTGAGCGCGCCCGTGAGCTCATCTCGTGGGACCGCGACTTCCAGACCACCCGCAGCGGTAGCCTCCAGAACGCCGACGTCTCGTGGTTCAACGAGGGTCGCCTCAACGCCTCTTACAACTGTGTCGACCGCCACGCCTTTGCTGATCCTGACCGTGTTGCCATCATCTACGAGGCCGACGACCCTAGCGAAGGCCGCAATGTCACCTACAGCGAGCTCCTCCGCGAGGTTTCCCGCACCGCCTGGGTCCTCAAGCAAATGGGTGTCCGCAAGGGCGACACTGTTGCCATCTACCTGCCCATGATTCCCGAGGCCATTGTCGCCCTTATGGCCTGTGTCCGTATCGGTGCTGTCCACTCCGTCATCTTTGCCGGTTTCTCTGCCGACTCTCTCCGCGACCGTGTTGTCGATGCTGGCTCCAAGGTTGTCATCACCACCGACGAGGGCAAGCGAGGTGGCAAGTTGATTGGCACCAAGAAGATTGTCGACGATGCTCTTAAGCAGTGCCCCGACGTCGAGCACGTCCTCGTCTACAAGCGCACTGGCTCTGAGATCCCCTGGACCACCGGCCGTGACTTCTGGTGGCACGAGGAGGTTGAGAAGTGGCCCAACTACTTCCCTCCTGAGCCCATGGCTTCTGAGGACCCTCTCTTCCTCCTGTACACCTCTGGTTCTACCGGCAAGCCCAAGGGTGTTTTGCACACCACTGCCGGTTACCTTCTCGGCGCTGCCATGACCGGCAAGTACGTCTTCGATATCCACGAGGGCGACCGATACTTCTGCGGTGGTGATGTCGGTTGGATTACTGGCCACACCTATGTCGTCTACGCCCCTCTGATGCTCGGTGTCTCTACCGTCGTCTTTGAGGGTACTCCCGCCTTCCCCAACTTCTCCCGATACTGGGATATCATCGAGCGCCACAACGTCACCCAGTTCTACGTCGCCCCTACTGCCCTGCGACTGCTCAAGCGTGCCGGTGACGAGCATGTTCGAGGCAAGTTCGCTCACCTCCGGGTCCTGGGCTCTGTCGGTGAGCCTATTGCTGCTGAGATCTGGAAGTGGTACTTTGAGATTATCGGAAAGGAGGAGTGCCACATTGTCGACACCTACTGGCAGACTGAGTCCGGTTCTCACACCCTTACCCCTCTTGCTGGTATCACTCCCACCAAGCCCGGCAGTTGCTCTCTGCCCTTCTTCGGCATCGAGCCCGCCCTCATCGACCCCGTGTCGGGTGAGGAGATCCACGGCAACGATGTTGAGGGTGTCCTGGCCTTCAAGCAGCCCTGGCCCAGCATGGCCCGCACCGTCTGGGGAGCCCACAAGCGATACAAGGAGACCTACCTCGATGTCTACAAGGGCTACTACTTCACCGGTGATGGTGCTGCCCGTGACCACGAGGGCTTCTACTGGATCCGAGGACGTGTCGATGATGTCGTTAACGTCAGCGGTCACCGTCTGTCGACTGCCGAGATCGAGGCTGCCCTCCTCGAGCACCACGCCGTTGCCGATGCCGCCGTCGTTGGTATTGCCGACGAGCTCACCGGCCAGGCTGTCAACGCCTTTGTTGATCTCAAGGAGAACGTTGAGTCGACTGACGCTCTTCGCAAGGAGCTCGTCATCCAGGTGCGAAAGAGCATCGGACCGTTTGCCGCCCCCAAGGCGGTGTACATTGTCCCCGACATGCCCAAGACACGAAGTGGCAAGATTATGCGCCGTGTGTTGAGAAAGATTGTCGCGGGTGAGGAGGATCAGCTTGGTGATATCACTACTGTAAGTTGCCTTGAATATTGGGTTGGAGGCACAGTAACTAACATGACTTATAGCTATCTGATCCCTCTGTCGTGGAAAAGATTATCAAGAGCGTGCATGAGGCCAAGCGCAAGTAGGCCCTCGTTGAATGAATCGATGAGTAAAGAGAAGGGATGAGATAAGATGGTGCATTTATCTAGTGGAGTTTATATACCATGGATACAAGGCAAACGGGATCTGGATGAGAGAGGTCAAGAAGCGACCCGGAATTAAATGGACGTCCCGTGCGGTGTTTTGGGGTTGATGCTGGGATACAACAAGTTACAGCCACGACACGACCTGAAAGAGGATTTTCTCGATGGCTTGGGAACCATTTTTATGAAGCTATTTTATGAGCATTGCGGTTTTGTTTTGTACACACAAGATTATTTCAGGAAGACAAAAAGAAAGGTCAAGAAATGATATGAATCATGATGGTGTGATTGATTGGGCCAAGATAAATAAAGAAAGATTCAGAGAAGGTTTCAGCTTGAACAATTGCTGTGAATGACTTTGACATTTCTCACATCATGGCAAAGGACGCGTGTACTGTCATCGGAGGACGAGTGGGATAGTGGGATAACTACCAACTCGAGTTCGGAATTACTGCGTGATATGTTTTCTCGCCTCAAAGCAAGAATGATGAGATGGGACATTTCAAGGGTTCAGAACCGAAAAAAGCATCAATTGACCGAAAACTAAAGCTTGGGGGAATCATGTCCCACCAAGGTGCGCGCCCAGAGCTGAATGGACTCGTCATGGTTGCGGTCAAAGAATGGATCTCGAGTCAACGAGTGGAGGTAGGGGACGTCTTGGCTAAACAAGATGATGGGTGCCAGCCAAGAATGGGCACACCGACCGCCTAACATGCAATCTACCTGGTTGAGGCTGTGTGCCGAGGGGATGAGATTTTCTGTCTGTCAGCTTACGGAGTGGCCAGTCGTGTAAGAAGAGAGGAGCAGGGATGAGAGAGATAAACCATGGTAGCGGTAAAGATGAGATATTATCATAGACATTGGATCCATCGAGTTGAGGAGCAAGAAAAAGGTTCATGCGGGATGGGAGTGAATAGGCGCCGAGGAAATATTAATAGCAGCTGGGCGCATGTAGGTAAGGGTCTCCGTCTTCGTAACCGGCGTTGGCGGTTTCCGAGACGCTGCTGAAACTGGACCTGAGCTGAGGGTGAACGGATTGGCGAGGGGATGCTACTGGGTGATAAAGATAAATATCCAGCTCATGCGGGTTCGTCAAATGCAAGAAACCTCGAGTCTGCGAGGCGAGTTGTCTGCATCTCCAACTCCATCGCCATCCATTGAGATCTGAGAGGTTGGGCGTCAAAAATAGAGAACGCGGGCTGCGGGTTGCCATGTTTGGGGGCAAGCCGCGCGCGAGCGAAGCGTGGGAATACGAGCCCTGGGTTGAAACAAGCCTGGAAAAGTGTTAGTGCTCGGCGCTGCACGCACGACGCACGGGGAGGTCGAGGCTCTCGGATACGTCGGCGCACGGGACGGAGAGAGGAAGGGTCCGGCTTGTTCATTGGAGGCCGCCTACGAACTGAACAACAAAGGGTTCAGACAAAAGATATAGGCTAGGGATGGAGATGCAATGCAACTCGAGATGAAAGGGAATGTTGATGTTTACCAAACTCCTGGAGAAGAGAAGCCATTCACGATCAACATTCATGATTCTCACGGGTTCTGGTAAACTCACCAAGGGGCTATGCTATGCGTGTAGAGGAGGCACCGCGCGGCCTCTGTGCCTCTATTCGCTGGGGGCGGGGCTTGGTTGTCCCCCCAGCATCCACATCCCAAGCCCTTGGAAGTTCTTGGCATAGGTTGAATTCCATATTCTCTGGGGGGGGGTCATTCATGTCCATCACCGGGCTACGGCAGCTCTGTCAGTACTAGGTAGGGATAAGCCTTGGCCCTCCGCCACACTCTGATTTTCCCTTTGATCTCCCGTCATCCTATGCCAACAACGCCTGCTGATCAATCTCGGTCAAATCAATAATCTTGTTTATTTTTCTTTTCCCCCTCTCTTCTTTATTGAGGCTTTCTTCCCTCGATTTATCGTCTCCTTTGTATCAGCCTCGTCTGGCAACTTCCGACTTTCAACGACAACGTCACATCTCCACTCCATCCCTCGTTCGTTGCGTGTCGTTGCAACCCCGTTGGACTTATTATTAGCGTCCCCCAGCTTCGGCCTGTCCGTCTCACCGCGGCGAACGAAACGTCTCGACCATCCGTCTCACATTTATTGATCCGACACCTGGCTTTCCCACAATATCACTCTACCGGACCATATTGCCTCTGAATGGCTTGTATGTTGTAGGACTGCTTCTACTCGGCGCGCGGCCTTTCCCTACACAGGACCTCTCACGGTCCGACAAATAAAGAAAAAAACATGGTATCATTAAGGTCACTTGCGACCGCCGTTGCTGGCGTCGCCCTCTTGATAGAGTCCTCGTTAGGTATGTCGACTCTCTCCGCGATGCCCTCTGCGGGCGTGCTGATGTCTTTGACTCGCAGCGTACTCGGTAAAGCGAAATGCCGTTAGCCAGGTGACCTTTGTCGACGACGCCGTCATCAAGACGCCTTCCCACCGCGTCCACTCCGACTCTAAATTCGACCTTCACTTCTCGCTTCACAACGGACAGCAAAAGATCCGGCTCAAGCTCGAACCCAACCACGACATCCTGCACGATGACTTTTCCGTTACCTATCTAGACGCCGACGGCAAGGTCGAATCCATCGAGCCCGTCAAGCGCAGCGACCACAGGGTGTTCAAGGGCGATACGTTTGTAGAGCGTGCTGGGAGAGAGGGATGGACACAGGCTGGTTGGGCACGGATAACCATCTACCGCGACGGCGAGAAGCCCCTGTTTGAGGGCACTCTTGGGCTGGACGGAACCCACCACCATATCCAATTTGGCAGCCATTATGAAAAGGTTCGACATGAAGGCGATCCTGCGTTGCCCGCTTCGCAAAACAACGACGAGACCATGGTTGTCTGGCGAGACTCTGATATCATGTCCTACGACCCCAACGAGTTGAAGCGCGACGCGGCTTCGCATGCGCTCTGCGACTCGGACTCACTCGGCTTCAACGGCGACTTTCACGATCTGCAGGATTACAACACATTTGCCGCTACCCCTGCCAAGCATCTGTTTGGCCGACAATCCATTGACGGAGGATCGACGGGCAACGATGGCACTGGCGTGAACCTCATGGCGACCATCGGTTCTGTTGACGGTTGTCCCACTACCCGCAAAGTCGCTCTCTTGGGAATTGCTACCGACTGCGGTTACACGGCTGAATTCGATAACCAAACGGCCCTGAGGGAGAATGTTATCAACATGGTCAACACAGCGTCGCGACTATATGAGAGCACATTTAGCATCTCACTCGGTCTCCGTAACCTCACCATCAGCAACAAGGGGTGCCCCTCTGCCCCCTCTGAAGCAGCTCCCTGGAATCAAAAGTGCTCGGATAGTGTCAACTTGGCCGCCCGACTCAACCTCTTCTCGGCATGGCGTGGTCAGTATCAGGATGGCAACGCCTATTGGACTCTGCTCAGTACATGTCCCACTGAATCCGCCGTCGGTCTCGCGTGGTTGGGTCAGCTGTGCCGCTCTGGAGCGTCGGACAACTCGGGTGGTAGCGGTTCAGGGAATGAAACGGTGGCTGGTGCCAACGTCGTGGTGAGAACTTCATCGGAATGGCAGGTGTTTGCTCACGAAACGGGACACACGTTTGGCGCCGTTCACGATTGTACTTCGAGTGCATGCCCGGTCAAGTCGGACGTGCAGTCATGCTGCCCGCTGAGCAAGAGCACGTGCGATGCCAACGAACAGTACATCATGAACCCCTCCAGCAAGGACAGCATCAAGGAGTTTTCGCCCTGCACCATCGGCAACATCTGCTCGGGCTTCAAGCGCAACGTCAAGACGGAGTGTCTGACTGACAACAAGGGCATCAAGACCATCACGGGCAGCCAGTGTGGTAACGGTATCGTCGAGGAGGGTGAGGACTGCGACTGTGGTGGAGACGCCAGCTGCAAAGACAACCCTTGCTGCAATGGATCAACTTGCAAGTTCAAGGGCGAGGCTGAATGTGACTACACCAACGAAGATTGCTGCACCAAGCAGTGCAAGTTTTCATCTTCAGGAACGGTTTGCCGTGCCAGCACGGGAGCTTGTGACCCTGAGGAGAAGTGTACGGGCAAGGATGCCAACTGTCCCAAGGACGAGCACAAGGACGACGGTACTGACTGCGGCGACGGACTCAAGTGCGCGTCTGGACAGTGCACATCACGAGATCAGCAGTGCAGGACCATGTGGCAGAACAGCACAGATGAAGGCGAACAGATGAAGGCTTGCACATCGAGCTGTCTCTTGTCATGCCAATATCCAGGAGACTCCGTCTGCACACAGAGGAACCAAAACTTCCTCGACGGCACCCCTTGCGCGGGCGGCGGCAAGTGTGACAACGGAGACTGCAAGGGCAGCTCGACCTGGAAGGAGATTACGGGATGGTTCGAGGACAACAAGAACATCACGATCCCCGTGGGCTGCGTGATTGCCGGACTCCTCGCCATCGCCATCCTCAGCTGCTGCTACAGCTGCATCCGACGAAGAATCAGCCGACGCAAGGCTCCCAAGCCCACAGAGATGCACGCCTGGCCTGCGTACTCTCGTGGCGCCAACCCGCACACGCAACCAAGTTACAACTACGCGCCTTTGGATAACCAGCAAAACTGGGGGAATAATAACCAGCAACAGCAAAACTGGGGAAGGACGCGCAGCATGAGATATGCATAGACTGGGGGGTTATCGATTCTAGGATACAAAGCATTTTTGACGGCGTTCTTTCAAGGAGTCTTTTTTTGGGCAACCAGCCATTATGTCTGCTTTTTTTTTGGTTAAGGGTTGGCTAGGTCATACACTGTCAGCACAAGCATTGTTTATCGTGTACCTTTTGGAGGATAGCGAAGTCTTCAACATACGGGATTGGGAACTTGGACGAGTTCCTTTAGACGTGTGGTTAAAACCCTGTTTATACATACACACACACACACTCACATACAGACATGACACTAC